GTTTGCTTTTGGGTTAATACTGCATTAAATGGCTCCTCAGGATTCTTGAAGCTCTTTCCAACTATCCTGGATCTGTTACTATGCCAAAAAAACATACCCTCATTATTGTAAACGTTTTTGCAGAAAGAAAAAAAAGACAGCGAGAACAAAAAAAACCCACAGAAAAGTGACAGTACTCAAACAAGGATCAAATACACAAAAAAAGAGGAAAAAAACACAAATACAAAAAACACTGAGAGGCCTCTTTATAAATATTTTCACACAACTTTCACCCCTGGATTCTCTTATTTTTCAACTGAAGCCAAATGGAAACGTGTGAATCTTGGGTGAAAATTATAAACAGATCCCTAAAAGCAAAAATAAACTAGTCTAATGGTCCCCTAAAAACCCCACACCCTCTGAATGAATAAAAAAAAAAAAAAAACAAAAAAAAAAAAAAACAAAAAAAAACCCCAGCACATTAAACCGGAGCAGCTGGATAAACAAAATTGTGAGTTTCCTCTTCAATGAAATTGGTGATTTTTGTGCAAAATCAATTTTGCTGAAATCCCTCTGCTCATCCTGTCAACAAAATACTTTCAGCTCTACTGCAAGATTTGTCTGCAGTATATATCTATACATCTTGATTGTTCTTTTACAACTTATAAATTGGGAGAACTAGATTACAAGCCTCAAAAACTTTTGGTTATAAAATCAGCCACTAGGCAGGTCTTCTATTTAAAGTCATTTGTGAAACAAAAAACATTATGCCCCATGTAAATATAGCTTTTAAATATAACAATGCTCATTCAACCATAAATGCACAAAAACATACTGATGTGATCCCTGTCTTAAACCATTAACTGTTGGGGCCTTGGATAAAGAACAGATAAATCTGTCATCAACTTTTCCACCAAAAAGTATATATAAGACTTTACATTTACAAAGCCACTTTCTGAGCTTGAGAATTTTGGAGCATATTATTTGAATAAACAGAAAGCCATTTGTTTTCAATCTTCAGGTGCATAAATCAAAATGTCTCTAAAGAAGTGTATTACGGCTTTCGAAATCAAGTGTACTCTGTGTGTGGTTGGAATTTAAATTCCAGTTTAATAATAGCTTTGCATTTTGGCCTCGGGTCAGATCGTATTATTTATATGAAAGTTTAGCAACCTTATCTGGACAAAAGAAATCTGAGAAATGTTGTAATATTTTTGCATTCTGCTTTAGGCGGTGTAGCTCCTGCAGAACAAATAAAAATGTTTAAAACATTCATATGGTCACGTGCAAAAGCATGTTTGCTATACACATTATTATAGATTGATATGTAATAGAGAGGGATGAAGGCTGTGACTCTGAAAATTCTTTGTGCTGTAAATGTAGAATAAATGGGCTACAAATAATTTTTAGAGAACACAGCATGTAAGGCAATACAATGCTTCATTCTGTTCAAGCAGATGAATGCATGAGATATCATGTGGTTTATAGCATAGGCCAGGAAGTTTCACAGTCTCTCAGGGATATGTGAAAGTTGCATTTGATCTGTTAATGACTCGCCTGTCATGATCCCACGATCGCTGCCACCAATATGTCACAATCGCGGCATCAGACCCCAGACCTTCTCACCAAACTTGTGACCGAAGGACTTGCCAATCTAAAACTGCGATGTGACGTGCGTAACAATGCCACACCCAGCTGCACCCTGCACAACGATTTCCCAGCTAATGGGCCACATTCGATGTTCCGGCAGCCTGGGCGATTGTTATTGGGTCAGGTTAATTACGCAATTAATCCTTCACACTGCCACCACCTCCTTTTTGTACAGGGAAAGAGGAAACTTGGCGATATCAGCTATAGCACTATAATGATTGAGATAATCGTCTGTATAAAACGGTCATAACACAGGCCTATTATACAGAGGGTTAAGCAAACAGTAGCGTTCTCTTTAGAGGCAGGGATTTGTAAATTGCAATACAGCGCTATAGAAACAGTCCAACACTTTCAGAAAGAAAGATTTATTACTAAAAGGTCAAACGGGTGCAATAAAAATATTTACAGAAAAAGGATGTAACTAAGATATATATATATATATATATATATATATATATACATATACAAAGAACCACAGCACAGCAAAGAGATATCAGAGAGAGGTGAAAGGGTTAAAGTACTTGCCAAAGTCCTGGGTTAGCAGATCCAAGTTTCAGAGCAGAAGAGTGCTTTGATCTCCCTATGTTACAATGGTCAATGGGAAAATTCTTCAACTCCTCTAATCTTAGGCCTGACAGCCTGGTTTGTAGTCCCCAGCAGGGGGTGGCTCTGCAGTCAAGGACCAATCTCCACTTAGGGCGTGGAGAGAGGGTTGGATGCCTCAACTAGAGCAAAAATCTCCCATAACTCATTTGGCCCATAACTTTTCATCTGCACAAGTGACATTCGACCCGCGGGTAGATTATTATGCAGACAAGTCTGAGGATCGATTAGATATGAATTATGGAAGTGGACACTAAACGGTTCACGAGATCTATTTTTCTGCTTTCCTGTGTGTCCGAGACAAGGCGAGTGACCCATCAAACGGTTCGCCTGCTCATCATCCATCTGACGATGTGTTCGGTTTTTATGCAAGTCTCTCATATTCCAAGATATGAGACATAGGGGAAAAATGGTTTTAACCGAGGTTATCTGATTCTGTCACCTACGCTGAGTTAAGTTTTATGAGGTTGGAATCTCTCTCAACTCTGGAGAAAGCTTGCCTTATCTCTTCCGAGGTGTGAAATGGTACAGCTGCTTGGGACAGTGAGGCACCTCGTGACTCCCTGGTGGGATCTGGCCTGTGACACTTCTAACACACACATATATTGCCATATGTCACTGGGCCTCTCACAGAGGGGAGGGGGGGGGGGGAGAGAATAAGGGAGAAATATATTTGTCAGGACAGTTAACCCCTTTGCCAAGATGGAGGTTGAAAAACCAAAATGGTTGAACCGCGTCCATCTCTGGGTATACGCTGTTACACCACCCATTTAACGTGGTTGTAAAGGCTGAAGGTTTTTTTTACCTTCATGCATTGTATGCATGAAGGTAAAAACATTTTGTTTGCTGCTCCCTCTACAGCCCCTAATACTCACCTGAGCCCCCTCTCACTCCAGCAATGTTCATAAAAGCAGTGGCTGTCCCGGGACTCCCTCTCCTCACTGGCCATTGGCTCCCACTGCTGTTGTTCACGTCCAGTGAGCCAATGAGAGAGCAGGGGCGGGGCTAAGCCCCAGCTCTATATGTCTTAAGGATGCATAGAGTCGGGATTGGGAGTGAGCACGTATTACTGCCCCATAACAAGCAACTTGAGGACACTGGTCAAGGGAGAGGAGCCAGGAGCGCCATCAGGGGAGAAGAAGAAGATCGGGGCTGCTCTGTGCCAAACCACTGCACAAAACAGGTAAGTATGACATGTTTGTTATTTTTAGTATTTATAAAGCCAAACCTTTAATACCACTTTAATTTGTATGTAAATCTTATATATATTTTTTTCAGTATGCTTGGTATCATGCTTTACAGTTTTCATGTATTTACAATTTTCTTAAAGAAGAATTTCAGGTATGGATATTCTATGCATGGTTACAGTGGTCTTGGACCAAAGTAACTATGCATATACTATACCTGGCCAATGCCCCTTGAAGCTGGAAATCACTTAAGTAGACACCTGAATGAATGCAAAATGTTCTCTGATTGTACAAGGTTTAGAGGCAGGGGTGGTGATGTCGCACTCTCCACCAAATCAGAGGATACTTTGCAGTCATTCACAAAATGCTTTGCATTTTTAGAAATGGTGCAAGTGCTGAGCGGCTGACCTCCTGTGTTCAGAATGCAGCAGGGGATCTGCTTAGTGCAGGACCCACGAGCTAGTGGCCTGCTACTTATGGCCTGCCACAGGTCACCCTGAATGCCAGGATACCTTGATCAGAAACAGTTTGCACCACCAGGTTCAGGACAGGGGTGTGTGTGTGAACTTTCCCTGTCAAAGGGTGACTAGCAAGTTGGTGCTGTATCCAACAGTGCCAAGAGGTACCCTATATAACCAGCTAAAACTAAACTGCCCCCCTAGGCAGTTACCATTATATAAACCAAGTTTTTGACCTCAATAGCCCCCAGTCTCTGTTAACAGTCCATTCGAGGACTATAACAATCTTCTTAACCTTCCATGTATCAATAATCATACCAGTCTTTTTAAACTCTTACCAGATACTTTATGTTAGTCCGCCTTGTACATGATCTCTTCCTCTTTCCTTCCTCTGTTCTCCCTATGACTCCACACACTCATTATATACTCTTACCCTCACTAGAAAAGTTTTTTGCCACAATATCTCCATATATGCAATGTTGCCAAAAGTATTGGGATGCCTGCCTTTACAAGCACATGAACTTTAGTGGCATCCTAGTCTTAGTCCATAGGGTTTGATATTGAGTTGGCCCAACCTTTGCAGCTATAACAGCATCAACTCTTCTGGGAAGGCTGTCCACAAGGTTTAGGAGTTAGTCTATGGGAATGTTTGACCATTCTTCCAGAAGCACATTTGTGAGGTCAGCCACTGATGTCAGACAAGAAGGCCTGGCTTGCAGTCTCTGCTCTAATTCATCCCGAAGGTGTTCTATCAGGTTGAGGTCAGGACCCTGTGCAAGCCAGTCAAGTTCCTCCATCCCAAACTCGCTCATCCATGTCTTTATAGACCTTGCTTTATGCACTGGTGTGCAGTTATGTTGGAACAGAAAGGGGTCATCCCCAAACTGTTCCCACACAGTTGGGAGCATAAAATTGTCCAAAATGTCTTGGTATGCGGACTCCTTAAGAGTTCCCTTCACTGGAACTAAGGGGCCAAGCCCAACCCCTATAAAACAACCCCACACCATAATCCCCCCTCCACCAAACTTTACACTTGGCACAACGCAGTCAGGCAAGTACCGTTCTCCTGGCAACCGCCAAACTCAGACACGGATTGCCAGACAAAGAAGTGTGATTCGTCACTCCAGAGAACACGTCTCCACTGCTCTAGAGTCCAGTTGTGGCACATTGCATTGCACTTGGTGATGTAAGGCTTGGATGCAGCTGATCAGCCATGGAAACCCATTGAATGAAGCATCTATGCACTGTTGTTGGGCTAATCTGAAGGACACATGAAGTCTGGAGGTCTTTAGCTATTGACTCTGTAGACAGTTGGTGACTTCTGCACAATGTGTGCTTCAGCATTAGCTGACCCCGCTATATCATTCTACATGGCCTACCACTTCATGGCTGAGTTGCTGTTGTTCCCAGTTGCTTCTACTTTGTTATAATACCACTAACAGTTGACCGTGGAATATTTAGTAGAAAGGAAATTTCACAGGTGGACTTATTGCACAGGTGGCAACTTATCAAGGTACCATGCTTGGATTCACTAAGCTCCTGAGAGTGACCCATTCTTTCACAAATGTTTGTAGAAGCAGTCTGTATGCCTAGGTGCTTGGTTTTATACATCTGTGGCCATGGAGGTGATTGGAACACCTGGATTCAAGGATTCGGAGGGCTGTCCCAATACTTTTGGCAATATAGTGTATATGTGCACTCCTTATCACATAACCAAAGTATCAATGTCCTCGTCTTCTCAAAGTGTTTGCGCTCCTTAAATATTAATAATATCACCACTTGTGTTAAATCCAATCACCAATAGTGCGCTTCACCACCCCTTCAGATCTTGCACGTTGCCAAACACCATCAATCATAAATCTGCACAGACAATGCCTCCACGATATTCTCCACTATATTGCACCTTCTCTCCAGCATCCGGCATATGTAATTAAAATATAGGGACCATAATGCAGCAGTACGTGTAAAAACTTTATCTTCTTAGTTCTACTTACATGAATGATCATCAAAAACCTTTTCCAAAATGGCCACCGCACCACTTCTTTCTGACGTGTTTCATCACTAATCGACTTCCTCATAGGATGAGGATCCTATGAGGAAGTCGATTGGCATTGGTTACTTTTGCCATGCCTGATACACTGCAGACAGAGACTGCAGACCACAACAGGGCTGTTAGCAGCAGGTACATTTGCCTACACTCAATTTTCTGCCTATTCAAGTACCCATATACTGTCCTGATTGTAACCAATTTCTACCAAATACATAAGTGCAGTCTATGTTTTTAATAGTTTGGGAATATTTGGGGATATGGGGGTTAGAGGAATTTCGGGGTTGTCATTTATGCTACACTCAGTTCTGACATTTTGAAACTGTTAAGGCAATCAGTGTGGTGCTGCAAAATAGATGTCAGTTGGAGAGGCATTGGGTGCACGGACACAGCTTCTGCTCCAAATTTTAAACTGTTTTCAAAATTCCAATGAGTTTGATTAATTGGCCCTTGTGAACTGAATCCAAGCACATTCGCTCTTCCCTATTCAAGAAATATAAGAAATATAAGATGCTAGTATGTGCTCTAATTCTTTGTGGCGGACATAACACAACACCACTATTAGCAGGGCTGGGACACTGTGACAGAGGTTTCTGGTCCACTGGGGACACTGACAGATGTTTCTGGTCCACTAGGGACACCAACAAATAATTGATGGTCCACTAAGGACACTGACAGATGTTGATGTTGCAACTGGACATGGAGATGTTGATGTTGCAATGGAACACTATTGCAGATGTTGATGGACATTGGTATGCTGTGACAGATGTTGATGTGCACTGGTACACCAACAGATGTTAATGGAACACTGGTACACTGACAGATGTTTTGTGCATTGGTACACTGTGACAGATATTGATGGGAAACTAGGAACACCGACAGATGTTGACAGTCCATTAGGGACACCAACCGATGTTGATGTTGCAATGGTACACTGACAGATATTGATGTCGCAATGGGACACTATTACAGATATTTTTGTTCACTGGTACACTGTGACAGATGTTGATGGGACACTGACATATTTTTGTACACTGACAGATGTTGATAGAACACTGGTACACTATGATGGGATGTTTTTATGCACTGGTATACTGTGACAGATGTTGATGGGCACTGGTACACTGTGACAGATGTTGATGGAACACTGGTACACTGTGAAAGATGTTGATGGGACACTGGTACAGATGTTACTGTACACTGTGAAAGATGGTGCTTGGTGCACTGCTACATGGTGTGGGATCTGTGTGTAGCTGCACAGCAAAATCAGCAGCTACAAAAAGATCCCTGACAGGCTGCAGCTATCCTGCTCTCCCTCTCCTCACTGAACGCTTACTGAGCTCAATAGGAGAACCAATACAGAGGCACATACCCCTGTTTAGATTGTGTGAAGACTATGATTGGACACAGCCATCATATGATCAGGAGGGCCAATCAGAGAGCCCATATCCAGATTTGTTATGTGCTCTATCCGAGGGACACATCAATCACAGAGAGCTTCCAATGCACACCCCAGGGGGTGTGCAGGAGGCATGCTTCTAGGAGAATTTCCATGGATGTCCTCCCAGAACTGAAGCTGTATTTTGGCTATAGTGCATAAGGCAAGTGGTTAAAGCTGAACATAAAGGATATAATCCTGTGTGCACATAAAATGCATTTGCAAACTCAGTAATTACTTTTTTAAAGTAGCAGTGACATCATCACTTGTCTGCATATAGCCTGTGCAGAAAGCAGAGCTATGGGAGGGACCGGGCAGGTCCCTGCACTACAGGCTGCCTGCTGAAAATTACAGGGGATGGAAACAAGACCAGTCACCCAGGAAAAGGAGACTGAATAGCAATAAATTATTTTACAGGAAGCTCCTGCACTGTGGCAAAGTTTCCCACTGGATTAGAATTATTGCATAGATCTGGAAGAGATACACAAAAGGACATCAAGGGGCAAGTAAGAGCACACAAGTTTCTTCTATTGGCACAAAATATGCTTATCTTTCTATTAGGAAATGGCAATTTTGCTCTAGCAAAAAGCTACCAAACAGGCAAATTGGAAGTTTGGCATCTTTTAAAGCCTTGGTGGATTAAAGAAAAAAAAATCAGATTTTGGGGTGGATAAAGAAATGATAAAGGTAATTGCAGGCTAAAATCTGCAGGTTAATTAGGTCATATAAGTAAATATATATTATTAACACAAAGTGACCAAGTGTGTGCAAAGTCTATTTTTAGTTTTAGATAGAGTGGTTAGGGGTTAGAGGCTCTATTATTCTTTTGCTGTGATGTCAATTAGCAAGATGTAGTAGATAAAGTGGGTACATACACAAAATATACTGTATGTACATATACAGTTGCAAGAAAAAGTATGTGAACCCCTTGGGATTACGTGGAGTTTTGCATGAATTGGGCATAAAATGTGCTCTGAATGTCATCTAAGTCACAACAATAGAAGAACACAGTCTGCTGAACATAATACTACACAAATATTAGATGTTGCCATGGTTTAATTGCACATAACATGTAAACATTCACAGTGCAGGGAGGAAAAAGTATGTGAGGCCCTAGCTTAATGACTTCTCCCAGAGCTAATTGGAGCCAGGAGTGAGCCAACCTTGACTCCAATCAGTGTGATGATATTGGATGTGTTGCCGACAGCTGTCCTGCCCTTAAAAAAACACACACCTGTTTTGGGTTTACTGGTTTCAAGAAGCACTGTCTGATGTGAACCATGCCTCACAGAAAAGAGCTCTCAGAAGACCTACGATCAAGAATTGTTGACTTGCATGAAGCTGGAAAGGGTTACAAAAGTATCTCCAAAAGCCTTGATGTTCATGTGTCCATGGTAAGACAGACTGTCTACAAATGGAGAAAGTTTAGCACTGTTGCTACTCTCCCTAGGCGTGGTCGTCCTGTAAAAATGACTGCAAGAGCACAGCGCAGAATGCTGCATGAGGTAAAGAAGAATCCCAGAGTGTCAGCTAAAGACCTACAGAAATCTCTGGCACATGCTAACATTTTTGTTGACACATCTACAATAAGGAAAACATTAAACAAGAATGGAGTACATGGGAGGACACCACGGAGGAAGCCATTGCTGTCCAAAAAGAATATTGCAGCACGTTTGAAGTTTGCAAAAGAGCACCTGGATGTTCCACAGCACTACTGGCAAAATATACTGTGGACAGATGAAACCAAGACTGAGTTGTTTGGGAAGAACACACAACACTATGTGTGGAGAAAAAAAAGGCACAGCACACCAACATCAAAACCTCATCCCCACTGTAAAACATGGCAAAGGGAGCATCATGGTTTGGGGCTGCTTTGCTGCCTCAGGGCCTGGACAGATTGTTGTCATTGATGGGAAAATGAATTCCAGAGTTTATCAAGACATTTTGCAGGAAAACGTACGACCATCTGTCCGCCAACTGAAGCTCCGCAGAGGATGGGTGATGCAACAGGACAATGACCCAAAGCATACAAGTAATTCAACAAAACCATGGCTGTAACAGCACAGAATACGCCTTCTGGAGTGGCCCAGTCAGAGTCCTGACCTCAACCCGATTGAAATGCTGTGGCATGACCTTAAGAGAGCGATTCACACCAGACATCCCAAGAATATTGCTACACTGAAACAGTTTTGTGAAGAGGAGTGGTCCAAAATTACTCCAGATCGTTGTGCAGGTCTGATCTGCAACTACAGGGAACGTTTGGTTGAGGTTATTGCTGCAAAAGAGGGTCAACCAGTTATTAAGTCCAAAGGTTCACATACTTTTTCCTCCCTGCACTGTGAATGTTTACATGTTATGTGCAATTAAACCATGGCAACATCTAATGTTTGTGTAGTATTATGTTCAGCAGACTGTGTTCTTCTATTGTTGTGACTTAGATGACGTTCAGAGCACATATTATGCCCAATTAATGCAAAACTCCACGTAATCCCAAGGGGTTCACATACTTTTTCTTGCAACTGTATGTGCATGTGAAGTACTCTTCCATTGCAAACAAGCTGGTAAAAAAGTACCACCTGTTTGTATAGGTAATCAATTCACATTCCCATTTTAAAGCAATGTGTATTTTTTTTTAATTAGACTGTAGATGATTACCTAAAGATCTAGTATGCAATTTCTAAGATATAAAGTTACACAAAAATCTTAGTTAGTTACAACAATATTAACAGAAACACATAAAAGGTCAGAAACTATAATGTAATCTATGGAAAACACATTCACATATTTGACCTTGTGCCAGATTTCAAAACATTTCATAGTGAACAAGGTCATTCTGCTAAGTGTTTATGTCCCTTTAAACTACATGGCAGTCTTCATGAATCCAGAGTACATGATGATGTGAGAACCATTCTGAGATACAGCCTGTTGCAGATTGTCAGCTGAGATTAATTCATTCAGTCTGTTCTCTCTACAAAACATGGGAACACACATCTAACATTTCTAAGAATAAAAAAATATGGAACGAGTGCAACTCAGTGAAAGAAAAACATAAACCTGATTGATAAAGATAAAACAAGTATCACAAAATATTCTGATTGTGTT